GGAAGAAACAACCCCTCTGATAGAACAGACTCTTAAAACCAACAAAAATCGTTCTCCTTCCCGGAGATTTCCCTCCAGAGATGTCCTTTTAGCCAGGTTTTCCATAAGGTATCGTCTGGTCTTCACCTCACTTTTGTGTGATTTCATAGCTTTATCAGTCTGGTGTTCATTTCTAATGGAATGAATCCACCAAAGAGAGCTGAGTGCTGCGAACCACGTGATGTGGACCCCATGACTGAAAGATGAGTAATGCTGAGTAATCCTGTCTAACTGAGTTAATCGCATCGCATGGACAAAGCACTACTTTCAACCGGTCCAAATTAGAGTAATGTTCTCGAGAGTTCAGAATTTCCCAAATCTATTTTTCTTTCTCGAATTCTTCCCCCCTTCTTCACAGGTTACTTCCGTCTGGCTTACTGTGGCATTCACGGGTGATCGATATTTGATGATATGTCATCCGTTCTTTGCAAAACGATGGTGCACCGTCCGCGTGACACGAATCAGTATCGTGATAATCTACCTGATGAGCGTTGTGTACGGAATTCCTCGGTATTTCGAATACAGAGGATTCGAAGTCTACGTGCCCAAATCCAACCCTATTGAAGACGAAGGTCTGCTGGAGAGTCTCCCATTGTCCGAACACTTTCAACGCATAGTCTGGTATGATTTGACCGAATTCGGAAGTTCCTCACAGTTTCGAACGTTCTATCACTTGTGGTCGTGGAATATTCTAGTGGTTGCCTTACCTTTTGTTAGTATTGCCGTAATGAACAGTTTCCTAATATGCGAAGTTCGACGGTCCCGAACAAGGAATGTGAAACAGAATTTGCAGAAGGTCAGCCGACGTCAGGACACGAACATCATGTTGATCGGAGTGATTGTTGTGTTTTTTATTTGTCAGGTGAGTGAATCCCCGTGAAAAAAACTCACCTTTTGAGGTATCTTCTTATGTGACTTGGATGCAGGTGCACTTAACTAATTGTACTGCATTTTCAAATAGGAATGCTATCACCACAGGTGAAAGTGAACTTGAAATGAGTACAAGTGACCTTGTAACGTTGTTCAAGTGTAGTTTGTCAGACGGGTGTATTTCACCTGACGACATCACTCGCTGCTCTTCTGTTTCGTATAAGCCAGGTATTTTTGTCAGTAGGGCATCAGTCGGATCCTGAATGGTTTGGATAGCAATCAGTGGAAACACCCTACTGCGAAGAATGCCGACAGTTCAAGTTAGGTAGTTTAGCTAGGCAGTTTACCCAAAAACTCTTTGTTTCTTGGTCAGATGACTTCACCGGAATGTTGTTGGAGGTTCGTGGCATTCTGCTGTTTCAGAATGACCCAGAATTATCATTGGCTGTCTGGTAAGATCAAGTCTGACGCTGTTCTTGAAGGTCGCTTCCGGTGACCTTGATCATCCACCTGACCAACAGCGATTTCAACCCACTGTTTGCGTTTGAAATTATTTTTTTGCTAGGTTCGGCCGTGATCTAAGTCATGTTTATTTAGCGAATAGGATAATCATTGTTTAGCGAAATATCTAGTTATTATGGCTTGATCTCAGGCTATTAAACTCACAGCCCTTTGCATGAATGCTCCACTTTTTGTCCAAAGTTCACCTTGAAGTTTGGATATTGATTCGTTCCAAAACACCACTTGTCTCGAACCAACCCCGAAAAGATGTCCGGTCGCCGGATTTCACTCAAAAGTAAACAAACACTTGCTGATGAATTACTGTCCAAGTGTTAGGACGCTGAGGAGTAAGACAAGTCAAGGTTTAAGTTCCCACAAGAGATTTATTGATTCCCCCTTTTTGGAGTAAACTGTGGCGATTCTGTGTGGTTGATGTGATCAAATATTGATAAGCGATGCTGTGAATGAACAGACCGATGTTGGTCAATAGCCGATCGGATTAAGCCATGAGATCTCACGGAGAAAGCACGCTATACATTCCGGTTTCTGCTGTGTGGGTAGATGAACGCCTTGTGCAGAACAGGTAATCAAGGTTGAAGAAACTGGTGAACAGCGGTCACCACAGCCTTACGAATCGTAGTTAGTTATTAGAACGACCTCATCACCAACGTGCATCGATGATGCCACCTCGATTGGTGATGAGAAATTTGCAATCCAACTGACAAACCAGGTGGACAGATCAACCACCACCGAGATAACTTTGAGGTTTTTGGTGGACCACAGCCCCTTAAAATGCCTTCTTATTACCTTGAACCCCGATCTGGATCGCCGCCTGATCGCCTGGTGCACTTGGCCAAACCAGAAAAGTCAATGACCGTGCGAACGGGCTGATCTGTTGATCCCTGTCGCGTACAAACGGTCAAAAGTGATACTAAGAATACAACTCATCTGTCAAGGGCAAGTGAAGAACAACCAATGAAATCAATCTGTCTCAACGAAAACGATTATTCCATTGGCAGTTATGTAGTCCCGTTACGTTCGGAGCTGGTTTTCCTGATAAGATTTACCGCCATAAATTTGTCTCGTTTTGCTGTGAATACGTACGTTGAGCAACACTCGGCTGGTATCCAGGCTTGATACATTATTCGGATTATTTTGACAAACATCATAATGGTATGGTATAGTACAATATGGTATAGTATATAGTACAGTACAGTATATAACATAATGTAGTATATATGTAGTATAGTATAGTATTCTTAAGTATAGTATACAGCATAGTATAGTACATACAGTATAGTATTTAGTATGGTATGTTGCATAGTTTAGTACAGTATATATAGCATGGTATAGTATGGTATAGTATGGAATAATGTGCTTTACGCCAACAGATTCGTGAAATTTCGAGTTACCTAGCTGGTAGACGTAGAGAGACGAAATAAAACGCGTTTGAGTATCGACTGGGATGGACGTAGCCCTACTGTATATGATCACCAACAAATTACTAAAACAGCCAAGTCGTTATCACAAACAGACTAGTTTTCTGCGACAGTTTTCGTCTCTATTACTTCTGTAATCCATCTACTTTCATAAGGGAAAGTCACCGACAAAATTGAAGTCTAGTAACTGTCGGTTTATCTAAGGCCGTCTGAATAGACGGCACTAACGCTTATATTCCAATCAAAGTCGCCTCACTCAAGGTCATCTATCTCATCCTTTTATTGGAACACTAAAGATGAAACAGTTTCAACCGCCGGAAAATTGATGTCTGAAAAACGCGCTGAGTCCCATTCCGTTTCCTCTCACGACACGGTACGTCGCCCTAGTTTGGAAAACGTGCGCAGATCGAAAGATAAAAACTCCAATCGGTTTGCGCACTTTGGGGCGCCAGTACGACTGTTAGTTTTCCGTTGTGAACTCATCCTTTCTACGGTGTTATTCCAATGATACAGTGAGGTAATGTTCTGTTAGAATTTGCAAATCGCACGTAATGAAATCTCTTATTAAAATCGCCAATATGAATTCAGGATCGGATTGGCTGATGGTGACCAAAGGTGTAAACGGCTAGTCCATTTTAGTTAGCCGTTAGTCGGCGTGAAAAGTTTAGTTTTGATCAGCCATTAATTTGTCTAGGCAACCCGCTGATGGCTGGTTTTTAGCTGTCAGTTAATCGATCTTCGCCAAGGCCTTGATGATAACCTAGCCAGTGGTTGTATTTTGACCGGATGATTGTGACAAAACATGTGATCCGATACAATAAATCCTCAGGAACACAATCACTCTATCCCGGTCAGATGATTAAAGATGACGTGGCTGAGTTTTGGGATTTGACATTTCGACGTATTACTCCCTTTTCCCCCGAGAAGATCCATGAATGTTCGGATGAAACCTTTTTACTGATCATGATTTTCAGAAAAACAGCCTGGAAGTGGTGCAGAGCAAGGTCACCTGTTGTCCAACGCCCGTGATTTGACATATGTCTACCCCTTCCGGCTTCAGCAGTGATCACTGTTTATGCCTGAACAGGTGAACATGTTCGCGCTTGAGCGGGAGGCTCGATTTCCGAACGACGACCCAGTAACATAACTTGGTTGTATCGATCGATTGGCCCGTCTGACAGGGAGGGTCACAGACGCTTGAAAACTGCTGGATACTTTTTGTTTCAGATCTTGATGGTTGCGGGATTTCACAGAATGCACGCTCGTTCGAACAGTGGTCCTCCTGTCGTGGTGCGACAATTCTGATGAGCTCACACCAAATGTGAGAAACACTGGAGTCGAGTTTCATTCCTATTAGAGCCCATCAGCAGTACAATGGCGGTGCCGGGGTTTGAACTCTGCACTGTGACATGTGAGGCTAGTGTATTACCGCTACTCTACCGGGGCATACTGGACTCAGGCCCCGGCATGGTCATCGGATATGTACTGCTGATGAGCTCTGATAAAAGCGAAACTTGAGTCCAGTGCTCCCCCCTTTGGTGTGGACTTACCAGAATAATTACGCCGGGACAGAAGGACCCTTGTTCAAACGAAATTCATGTGAACGTGCATCTATAAAATTCCGCAGCTGCCAACATCTGAATTAGTCACTTTCCTGAGGCTCATCCAGGAATTTCTCGAAACCAAACAGCTTACGAGAGTTATTTTCTCTGGAAGGACCGCCCGTGAAGACTTACACGGTGTGCCCTTGTTCCATAAACGATATTCGTCGGGAGGGATCTGACAAGCGAACCAGTCTTTGATGGGCCAATTGGTTCAATCTTAACAGTGCTCGCTATAGAAGGGAAAAAGGGTTTCTCAATTTCTTGAAGGAGCGACTTTGCCTTCAATTTGTCGGCCACCAAATGGTGTCAGATGACAACTTGTCCTGTATTCTGGTCTTTGTTGAACAGCATACACAACGACAGGTGAGTGTGGTGGTTTCTGCCAGTTGGATGGTGAGTTCCCAGGGCATACATACTTGAAGCAAACTCTCACAGAATGGGAGCGGATGGACCTTACTTTGGAGGTGGTATCTCTTTGGGAGGTGTGCCCCTGTACAGCGAATTTAATCTGGGCTCCCCATCCAATCAGAGCTGGTTTGATGACAAGCAGTACTGCTGGTTTAGAAGTGGGAGAATACCCAGTATATATATATATATATATATATTGTTAAATTAGGTGTTGGAAGAAGACCCATCTTTGCACAAATAACGAATTTCCCGAAATCGTCTGACGAAAATGCTTGTCAAAGTCAATCAACGCAGATTTGAACGGATTTGAACGTCAAAATCCATTTGGTCAACAGTAAACACACACTTTCCTCTCTCTCTCTCTTTCTCACCGTTTCTCCTTCTTGGAACTGTGTGCACGTCACATGACTCTGACAGTTCCCCACTTATAAATCATACTGTTTCCCGTAGTGCTTCGACGTCCTGATACGTTTGTGCACGGGCTCTTGCTCAGCCTTCCCCTCGAAAATCACGTGATTTCATCGATTTTTTAGTGAACGTTTGAAAGCTGCCTTCACTGAAGGTGCAAGATTCTGTTTAAAGCTTGGAAGACGGAAAAGAGCTAGAAGTTGAAACGGAAAATTGGGACTGTTTTTGGGGGATGTTCGTGAAAAGTATTCGTGGGAAATATTTGTAATGCACTACTCATAAGGTTGCTGAAAATCCATCAGCAACCTTATGAGTAGTGCATTACAAATATTTCCCACGAATATATATATACATGTATCGCGATATCTCGAATATCGTAGCGACTGAAACATCAGGCGGCCTGGTGCAGCAAATCCAGTTGCCTGCAAACATCACAAACGAGAGATTCAGATGGGTTCCAGGTGAGTCTCTCGAAAAACCAAATTAGTTTACAAATGAGTGTAGATTCGCCATTCGTGGGAAATTTTTGTTTTCTATGCTACACGATTCTTCTCCGGCTGGGAGATAGAATAGTCAACGGCTCGAGACCGAATCAAGTTTTTAACAGGTATTCTGAGGAAAGGGATGAAGGA